AACTAAACTGTTAAAAAAATGGGTCTATAAAAATATGAAACTTTGAGGAGACACAACCTACCTCCTTGAAATCTTTATTCAAAAGAATGAAATGGTGTCCAAGCCCATTAAAATGGCTGAGATAGTCATAAGAGAGACATTTTGAGCTTTCGAATGGTTATTCACATGTTATATATTGAAGTAAGTGTATATAAGAGAATGTTTCCAAAAAATGGAAAGAGGTGAGCAGCGTCAATGTGTTTGATTCATTACATCCAGCGAAGAGAAAAGACAGAAGGTTCTTATTTTATATTCTAGCTTGAGAATATCGGTAATTTTGAGTTCCTAATTCATACGAAACTATAGGCTTAGTATTTTGATATCATAAACATCTAATTTGAATCAGTGCTGCATTCAACATACCACATGACACACAAAAATCGATGTTTATCCGTGTTAGCATGCATAAAAATATATGAATTCTAGAGAAAATATGTTAACAAATCAAGAAATTACAAAACTACATTGTTTCTCAGTATACAAATAAGTAGTATTAAACCATTCCTTATACAAACAATGTATTAAAACATACCATATTTTTATTACACTCCTATATTCAAGTCATTATCCACCAATATACGATGAGATTACCACAATACTGCAAAATTCAAATCAAAGAAAACTGAAAGCTTACGTTGTCGGTCACCTTGGGTCCGACCTGACCCCAACACAAATGTATCCTTACAGTAAGCTTTGGATCGAAAATCCAATAAGTAGGTTATTTACATCAATTATCAAACACATTTTCTATAAAATAGGTCGTTATAAGCATTCATCACTGAAAACACTTACTGAGGAATGAAATCCACATACATGCTTACCACAATGATGTTATAAGCAAACAGACCAGATGATAATGTACTACTTTGATGGATTTTATACAACCTTGCATCCAAAAATCGAATATTCTTTACAGCCACATTTTAATATTTGAAAGTTTTATGTTTTTAAATTGATGTAAAACAGAAAGGAAAGACTGATATAACAATGTGGCAACCACACAACAACAGCAAGCCTTAAAAGGAAAAAAATTCAATTATTATCATGTAAACTATTTCATTAATCAAATTTAGAGTTTCTGATTATTCCAACGGGTGATTAATTGAAACTATGATCAAATCATCACATCAATTAATCAATAATTGAAATTTATTCCTGCTTATTCCTGTTTTCGATTATTCCAACGAATCATTAATCGAACTTCTGATTGTATTGATTGTTACAAAAATAGCCAACTAATCGAAATTAGGGTTTCAAATTATTACCTTTTTCTATTATTCAAACTATCCAAGTAATTCAAATATTGCTATTGTGTTTGTTTTTAAGCACAAAACTACATAATAGGCTGTATATGCTCTACCCGATTTTAGCCTTATACATTTTCTTTGAATTCCAGTTTGCTCAACTTCAATGAGCTGGGATTC